TGGCAAGCTGTTTGGAAGTCTTTTTTTTCCTTTGAAATGCATCTTGTATCTCTCTGCCCACAAGAGGACTTGCATCTCTATCATAGGATGCATAATTAACTACATTTTAGACCCATACATGACCACCTGCTATGGTACCTTTTTTGTCAACTTTGTTCTACTCAAAAAAAAAACCACGTTTTCACTGCTAGAGAACCTGTTTTAAAAGCTGTGTTTATTTTGCTTTACAATGAAGTGGCACTAAAATCAGGCATGCAACAGACGCTTTTTATGCAGGTATTTCTCAGCACTGTCACAATAATTTCAAAATAGATAAAGTAATGTATATGTTTAGTTGCCAGAAGCACATCAAGATACTCTTCATACTCAATACATTGATTTTCTAGCTTAAATAGTAAAATATATATTTCTTGCATGCATGGGAATTCTATGTTGTGAGAAGATGCCACAGGAAATATATGTGAGGTTAACAACCTACATTCCCTGGGATTCCAGGGTCAACAACATGGAAAATTAGATTACTGGTCTCAAATACTGCACATACAGTATCTATGCCAATATCAGAACATGAAGAAGCAAATGTAACCTACAAGCTTGTCCAAGAATTAAGATTTTAGTTTAATGCTGAAATTCCAGACAGCAAGTTCTACCTCATAAAATCCCTTTATTAACAATTAATATCACATTAAGATGACTACCCAATAACTTGCTAAAAGAACATAACCAGGGGGCAACTACAGAGTTAAAAGCAGTGCGGGGGTGGAGAAAAAAACCTCAAACAACAAAAAACCACAAACAAAAGCCAACCCCCTCACACCCCAAAAAAACTCTGCTAATCCTTTTCAAAATATTCAAAGTGACACTACCAAGCAGTTACATACAATAAAGGATGAGTCTGATATTTTAAAAAACACACCAATTTATAGTTGAGGCTGGGGTGGTGTTTGGTTTTTGTTGAGGTGTTTTTTCCTTTCCACAGTATAAAATACATCCTTGCCTTCTCCTGCAGCTTTTTTTTTTCAGACAGATCAGCATTTGAAAGCAATTTACACTGAAAGAAAACTGAAGCCCTTTATTTTTATAAATATCATTTCTAAATCCCTATTGCAGAAAAACTGTCAAGTGTAAACATAATCTAACCAAAAACTTCCAAGGGCTTCCTCAATGTAATTAGTGCACATGTTCTTCGAAAACAAGATCTGATTTGTGTCAAACACATCTGTGGGGAGGACTCTGAAACTTAGGCGGTCAATAAAAAATTGGTCGTGATGACGATGGACATGATCGCTTAAGTGATGCTGAAGTGTTCCTGTGTGACCCAGTCTAGGTGATCCTGCTCTGGCAGGGGGGTTGGACTGGATGATCTTTCGAGGTCCCTTCCAACTCCTAACATTCTGTGATTCTGTGTGAAGTGTTGCAGTGGAAAGTCTTTCTAAGGTGTGGGGTTTTTTGGTTTGGTTCATACTTTTTTGGAGGGTTTTGTTGGTTTTTTTAAAACCAGGATCACATTCAAAATGTATCACCTCTGTTCAAGATTCACTACTCATCCACCAGTACTTCAGAGCCTCCTACATAGAAAAAGCCCTCAAACAAGTCACGTCTAAAGTCAAAAGCTCTCCACAGCGAGCTGCTCAGGTACAACATTCCTCGCTGACATCTCTGAAGAAAAAAGAGTAACTAGTAAAGAAAAGAAGTGACTTGAATCTGTTATTTATAGTGAGGAAAATGAATGTACATTTAGTACTATCATTAAAGTACTAATAATATATGCATCATAATGAAACTTCTAAATACAACTATCAGTTTTGATAATTAAATGTGTGCTAGGATCAACAGTGTACATACCAAAATAGCAAAGTGGATTTCAATAATTCTATAACAACTTAAGAAATAATGAATTTCTGTTCCCTTATCTTTAAAATGTAGGCTGTTTTGAGCATTTAGGAAACAGCCCATCCATTTACTAAAAAAAAAACCCCAAACCAAAACCAAACCACAATTTCAACACCGCTGTGCAATTTGTTTTTAAGAGGAAAGTCGGTGGATCTACTTTCATTCTCAGTGCGACGCTACTGAAGGAGAGGTATCTATGCCCTTATTGCAAAATTAAGAATGAGATCCTAGCTTAGTTTTAAGAGACATCAGTGTTGTGAAAAAATCCTAAAAAGATTCAGTACAAGAGCTATTACTAAAATGAGCATGAGAGAACTTCAGTCTGCACAGCCCTGTTCTCCAGGTGTGACTTAGAACAAGCACCATTTATTTGACTGTTCAATACTCAGCAGGGATCTGCCAAGCAGGTTTTGCACAGAACAGCCACAGATGCTACTTTCTGCTCAGCAAAGTGAGCTCAGTTCTCACTTTAAACCATTAGGAGATCCTTGCCAGTGTTATCCCTGACAATATTCTCAGATCTCAAAAATGAAATATTTGAAGAGTTAATGAAAGGTAATTGCTGAACTGCTACACTCAACAGCAAATTTAAATTCAGTTCAGCAAAACGTTTGGCATGGAAAAATAAACTATAGGAACAAGTTAGTGCTCTGTCACAGCGTAACAGACCTGCCATTCATTCAGTCAGAGTTGTGGTCAACGTTTCCATTAAAAAACTTGTTTATCAAGGATTAATTATGGCAGTTATTTAAGCAGCTACACCTCACACTGACTCAGTAGACAAAATTTTCTGTAAATTCAAAGAGTTTTTCTATTACTTAAAAAAAGGAGAAAAAAGGGAAAAAGCTGTTGCATCTGTTCACAAACATAAGATGGCTTTCAAAAGTGTATTTTTTACTCCTAACACCCACAGTCAGGCATATCTCCCCACCAGGTAATTTTTCCTAATGCTTGGTCCATTTTTCTTTTCTGTGTTTCAACACACAAGTCACAGTTTTATTTTGATAGTGCCTCAGCAAGCATCCTTGAAGTATCAAAAAACATTGTTTCACTTGACCTTCATCTACCAAAATCTGCTGCTGGTGAAATTAAGCTGACAAACTAAAATAAGTCCCCAACCATTTGAAATCACAACATCTGTAGCCCTCATCAGCCACTGACTTCAGGAAGGCAAAATACTGCATTTTTGAGAACTCTGTGGCACCAGAAGGTAAAATCATAATAAACTTTGAAATGGCTTAGAGTGATAGCTCAAACAATGTTAAACTTAAGTCTGAACAGGTAGCATCATTCTAATTGGTGGACTTCCTTTGAGGGATCAACAGAGTACAAGATGTTCCCTTTCTTCTAAAACGAAAATGCATTTCTTCAATCAACAAATAACTACAACAACAACAATAAAATCATATCATCCTCTACTGCTGGGACTGTTCTTAACACAGGTGGTCGAGGTAACTACCTTCGGCCTAGCTACAATTTCCCAGGAGATAATACTGAACAGTATCTTCCTACCTTTTGCACAACTAATTAGAATTTACTCATTTCCCCAGTTCCCTCACCATTAAGGTAATATATATTTAAAAACAGTTTCTTCAGACCTGTGCATGACTTTTTTTAAATAACAGTGCTGACCTATGACACTTGCTAGCAATGCTTTCCAAAATTGTCATTGTGCATTTGACTTATCCTAATCCACCCAAGATCAACATTTGCTGCTTACAGTTACTCTATTCATAATGTAGATGCATAAAAGTCTTTTTAAAAAGACAAGACAAACACACAAGCTGAGCAATGTTTGCTTCATAACTTTGAAAAAGAAAATTTGATCAAAAAGAAATCAATGAACGCAGACATCTGAGTTGAAAAATATGTATTTTTTAAAAACCATTGGCACAGGATAAAAAAGATTCTGCCTTTAAACCAAGGAGGTATGGCAGTCATACTCCTCCACACATGCATTTTGGAAAGCTAACCTGGAAAGTCTTTTCAAGCATAGCAATCAACTGAGAGAGTAATTTGACATCGCAAACGACAAACTTGGGTTTCATAGGTCAGACCAGTTTGGAACAAGGAAACTACTGATCTTCACTGTTGTGCCAAGCCAAGGTGAAGACTTAGCCTTTGATTATGTACCAAGGCACAGAAGTTGACTAATTGGATTCAGTTCAAGGCTGCAAAAAGGGCTGCTTCACAGGAAAAGCATCCAGTCAAATCGATCCAAAGAAGCTTTGCTCTGCCAGCTTACAGGTACTGGCCTCAAGAAATCACATAAGGTATGTGAAGAAAGGAAAAAAGGAATCCACGAACATAGAAACACTTCAAAAGACACTAAATAAACTATTTATTTTGTAAGTGTTGGACTACTATGTTGGCAAGACAGTAAAAAGCCAAGCAGGAAATAAGTCTCAATAAAACTAAAGGATGACTACACTCTAAAGCACAAACTCTAATATCCTTATTTAATCTGACTAGTAGCTAAAAAGAAGTCACCTTTAGTCCTCTAACAAGTCATAGATATTTGTATTTTGAGGGCACACCCCTCCCTCACCCCTTTTTTTTTTTGGTTAAATTTTAGGGTTTTTTAAATAGGTCAACTTGGAGTCTCAGCACGGTGACTTTTTTCAAGCCCTAAAGCTACATCTAAAAAAACATTATCCTTCAGAGTTCCCAGCTTTCAGGTCTGGGTACATAGTGATATGCTCCAGCAAGATTTCTGATCTGGACAATCAAGGGACCAAGGCTCCAGGGCACAACATACTGTACCACACGCCATGCTGTACAATTGCTCTGTAATTAGAAGCAGACCAACCAAATACAAACAGAATCAAATTGGCTTCTTTTAAATTCTCTTATGAGCTGCCAGAGAAGCACTGGGTTTGAATTACATTTATCAAAAAGGCTTCAGATCAAATAAAAAAAGAACAGGACAAAATTTAGAGTAGTAAAAGAATAAATGGGAAGACACTAATGATCATAGTTTCATCTGAACTCCAAAGACCCTATGCCATTTCACTTTAGTTTATAATGACAGTCTCAAATTCTATCTTCAAGCATTCTTAGTGAACAAGCAGCTTTAGATATGAGACCAAAGGCAAATAATTACTAACCTTTCTACATTGACTGGCTTGTCAAATTTAAATAGAATATAATCCCCAGCAACTGGTGTGACAGCCCAGAAAAAGTCTTCCCCTACGTAGGTTTTTTCTAGCGTATGCCCTTGGTAGACTTTTAAAGATGTCGAAACCTCTGCAGGTGGATTCACGTGGATTTTATGCAGTAATGGTTTCAGGAAGTCTTTATCCTAATTGAAAGAAAGACAAACATCATGCTGGTCAGATAACCTGGTTTATTATGTTCTTTTCCCAATTGGTTACACTTAGGACAAACACTTGCATAAAATGGAAAACTCATTTTTGTGTGTATCAGATATTGTACTGATAAATAAGATGAATACACCATTAAGAAATTAAGAAAAAATATCCCCCTAGGAAAAATCCACAAAAATAAGCTGATATTCACACTTCTTATACTGCATAATAACTAGTTTAAACTGGATTTAATTCCAACATGCTCGAAAATGCCAGGCAACAGGAAAAGACTTTTCTCAAAGGCTACAAAGTTTTTCATTTAATCAGCCTGCTCTGGAAAGGAAAGAAAATTTTTACTACTAACTGTGAGTTTCTGGATCTTCCCTGCTAGAGAGGAGTGGAGGCCAACATGCTGGAAAAGGGAAGGCCTGAAGCGTATCCGCAGGTTAGATTTCTGTCGATCACAATGTTTCTGAAATGAGGAAGGGAAAGGAGGAGGGTTAAAAAAAAAAACAAAACAGGTCACATTAATAAAACTAACACAAGGTTGCTAAGTTTTTACTGCAAGTATGCAGTGTTACGTGGACCAAAAAGACTCAACAAGAACTCAGACCTATTTATCCAGTTCTTCTTGTTTTCATTCCAGAAAACTACCAAGACTGCTGGGCAAATACAATACTGTTCACAGTTCTCACACAGAACCTGTTCATTCAGTCTTTCAGCAAGGGCACTACTTGAGGAATGAAGGAACAAAATCCAAAGTTTATTCCCCATTTGGAACTTGCTCTATGACTGCTATCCAAGCAGGGACATTCTGCAGCGAGGATTACCTGAATATACACAGAAAATAGCTAGACTTTTGCTTTTCATTCCACAGCACCCGTCTCCAAAATTGAGCTATAATACGTCTGAGAACTGTTTCTCTAAATTTCTTTTTGAGATTAATATCTTGGTAGGAAGACAGATTCTTTCAGGACATGCAGTAACTATAATACACAGTATGTTAGCCTCCAGATCACCAAAACAAACTCATTCACCATCATGAAAACATTTTAGAAGCTTCATAATTAAAAAAATAAACAACAAACCAAACAACTTACAGCATCTTTCTCAGGGTTACACACTTTCACCCAGAGGATATGGTCCAGGAGCCAATCGATAGGTTTCTCCTTATAAAACATAAATATGAACTCTACAATAAGAGTGATATCTGGAGACTGGAACATTTTACCTGTGATGACATTAAGAATAACTAGAGTTATTTTAGTTTAAAGATAACATTGTCTTTTGAAATCACTGAGACAATAGACAATAAGTTTGTGCCAAGACAAGAAATGTTAGCAATGAACAACTTGAAATCGCAATGTTATTAAAAGCTCCATACTTTTCAGCTATGCGAGACTAAATAGAACTATTCAAACAAGAACTCATTGTAATATATCTTGGTGCTATCAAAACATTCAATGTATACTACAACACAGTCTTCTTAAGAACAGAAATTATCAATCTGCAAAAACAGAGAAAGAAGAGTTATGAATTCATGTCTGTTGTTCTCCATGCCATGTGTAAGCTTCAATCACCTGAGACAAGGAGCTGTCGCGAGTGCCATCTGCCCAGTCACACAATTTCACCTTTTGCAGGTACAAAAAGCAGAGATGGAACACCTACCACTAACTCCAGATCCTTCCCTGTAGAAAATTAAAGGGAAAGAAGGAAGCTACTAGAACATAACCAGAGACAATGCAACCTAAAAAGAGAGAGACATTGCATAGCAGTAACCAGGGTTTTTTTCCGAAATGCATAGGTCCTCAGCAATCTCATTCTGAGGACACATCCAACCAGCTCCACTCAAAGCAGTCAGCTGCCTAGCAGAAACTTTAAGTGCCTTCCACAAACAAAAACTGCAGAACTGCTTTGCCAAACACTGCCATGACTTTGGGGCTTCCAAGACAGCACACTGCTTGGTCAAGTACAGATAGACTTCTGGGTGGCACTATGCTACAGGATTCTTGGGAACCCTGCAAACTGTGAGGCCTGAAGGAGGCCCTGGCAAAAGAAGGAAACTTACTGTTGATGAGGAAAGTTTATTTACTGTCAACAAGAGCAACTCTTTATGTGGTTGTGGAATACACTTCACTGCCAGTACAGGTGTCTGAAGAGAAAGGTGGCCAACACACTGGGCTATTTTGTTAGCCTGAACGCAGCACTTAAGAAAGGTGCCTTGTATGAAGGTGCCTGCTACCACGAAGAAGAGCTAACTGGGAGTGGGGCAGTTCAAGGCTGAAGACAGACTGACAACAAATGCTTATATCAGGGCTGACTGAGTGCCAATTAAACTCCCAAAGGCAGTTCCAGATTTGAGGACAGATTCAAAAAACATCATCAGGTTTGCAGATTAATTCTGCCTCAACTTTGCTAGGCTACAGTGGAGAAGGCAAGGGAGAAAGACATTATATGACTCTCTTAGGAGGACACTGGTTGAAGTGATTCAGTTCTGCAGATGGTGCGAGATGTGGGCAGTGCTGAATTAGACAGGCATGGGCTCTTGGAGCACATGTGCATTAATGGATCAGAGTCCAATAAAAGCTTTTCTCTGATGCAAGTCTTCTGTCTGTCCACACTGGGAGTTTTGTACAACACACTACACAAGGCAACTTATGCACATGAAATGTTTTGTTTGTTGGGTTGGTTTTTTGTCGGTGGTGGTTTTTTTTCCTTTGTGGTTTTTTTTTTTCCATTTGTAGTCTATGAGGCCTTCATAGGCTTTTTAAATAACAAGTTCCACAAGTGGTAGAGGTCCTAATAATTTCTCCTTCTACATTTAGGAAGAACAGCTGGAGTAGGCATTAAGAACAGGTTCCTTTCTGAGGTGGCAAAAACACTTCCCACACTCATCAGAAAATGGTGTTTGGTTCTCAGCTGTAAGAGGACAAAATTCTTTGGGAAGGCAACTAAGGAGCTGTATAGGCTAATCTGGATGACAAACAAATAGGGAACAACATTTTGTATGAAGCTTAAAAACTATCTGCAGTGCAGCACTCTACTTGAGCAGGCGGCCGAGTGGAAATGAGGAAATGGTGCAAGCAGCCATTAAAGGAGGATGTTCGCATTTATATAAACAGAAGAGAGGATATACTTGAAGTATCACCCTGAACCAGTAATACACAAATGGTAAAAAGTCACCTAGTCTTCAGTGATTAGGAACATAAATTTCCACTGTGAATATACATGTGGACTATCACTCAGAGCCAGATATTCAGTTACTTCTCTTTCTTTTGAGGCTCATTTAAGTCTGTAATTCATAGAAGATTACTGCAAGGCAGAATAAAAACCAAACAAACAAAAAAAAAACCCCACCAAACAAGGAGCTAGGAGTTCAAGTCCCTGTTGTAACAGGGATGGAAAATTTCTCTACCGAAACAGGTGTCTGAGCCTGGCACATTATACAGTATCTCAAAGTAGACACAGAATACCAGGTTGTTTGCTTACATATATTAGCAACAAGGATATTTTTAAGGAAAAGCATCAGAGTTGCAGGGGCTCTGTTAAGTTTGCTCTGACATTGCCAGGTATCAGACTCATACATATGGAGATTTGCTTTGAGAATGCCAATATCTCAAATTGCAAGATCCTTTATTTTCTAAAAAAGAGGATACATATTTAGGAGAACACCTAAAGGGTCTCATCCTTTCCAGAAAACAGTTCTGATGCAATCTCATTCCGTTATGACTTGTATGAAATCAGATAAGAACACAGCCAATGCAAAAAAGCAAAAAAAATGCACGAACATTGATATCACTTGTAAGTGCTTGTTTCAATGAGGTCCTCAAATAGGCATCTCCACTTCAAAATACTCTGTAACTAAAATGTGACGCTCCCACTAAAGAAAGGACAACTCCTACTAAACTAGAGACAACTGCAAAGCTTTCTCCTTTAAAGACACAAGAAAGATGTCACAATTTTTTATTAGTATATTGTTACTATTTACACATCGTATTGTCATATTTTTTGACACTATTTGTGGAAGTAAATATTTTTAAAAGGGTAGGAAACAATCATATGATTTGTACAATGTTGTGTAAAATATTCATGCAGAATAACAGCTCTTTCAGCTTGTCACACTTCCAACTAAACAGGCTCCCAATTTTCCTGGTGATTCATCTCTGCCTACTGCTTTCAATAGCACAGGACAGGAAAAGAGAAAAAGATGAGAAACCCTAATAAAACATCAGTTGAAAACTGGGATAATTAGATGCTTCTGGGATGTTTATGGGACTGAAACCATCATTTCTAGATCACACCTGCTAAGGCAGTCACATCTGCTTCCATAGGTAGTGGACCTTTCCATGTGGTGTCAGAGTGATGCACAATACCATGCAATTCAGAAGACAAAAACATAACCACATAGTTGCTCCAATCTCAATGGAAGCAGACTGCCTAAGGAGACAGTTTATTCTCTTCCAGGAGACATACAGAGCTCTGGAATCCTCTTCTTCTTTTACCCAAGGACAGAGCAATACAACCACACTGAATATTTTTCTCCTTTGACTAGCTCATCTTCAAGAAGAGCTCAAGGATTACAGTCCTCGGTTGTCATCTATGGTGAAAAGACACTCACAGACCATGTGACTTAAAACCTGAAAATTAAGGTACAAGATCCTTACCTACAATTAAATAAGCTGAGAACAAGACTGAAGGTAAAAGTAGGAATGTACTCTTTTCCCTAATTTATCTTAATTTTGCCTAAGGTTATCAACAAATTATTTACTTCCATATGGTAAACCTGTCTAGGCCCAGAAGCACTTTCCTCTAGGCCTAGACCAGTATATGACTGCCAACCACACAGTCAACTACCCTGGACTCAGGGAATATTCTAGTTAACATTGTGATGTCACAGGATGCACCAGAAAAACAAAATAAAACAAGCAAACAAAATCCCTGATACATGCAACTGCAACTGGTCAGACTATGCTAGGTAAGCAACAGCTGGCTGTACCTGCACTAGCATCTTCAGAGCCAAGTGGCCTCTCTACACTACACTGCCCAGCACTGTGGAAGGGTTCAACAGTGTCAGCAAAGCCTTCTCACTTCAATTTGTGATGATCACTGAAGCAAAGAGGAATGGGCAACACCCTGCTCCCAAGACAAGCTCTCCTCTCCCTTCAGTAACCGAGGACTGACATACACACACTACTTGCTGAAATGCTGTCGCCACCTTCCACACCCAGCTTGACACAGCTTTGCCCCAGCTCCTTGCCCGTCAGTATTAACACAGCATCCTTCAGCTGTCATTTCTGTCGCAGGACACCGCCAGCAGCACAGCAGCACTGCCATGGATCGATGTCCCTCTTTTCTCTACCAGAACAATCTTCCTATACCAGCTCAAAAACAGGCCTCTGCACCAAAACCCCTGGTGAAATAGGTCTTCAAAGCTGATTGACCCCTGACTGCCCACAGCTACTTCTTCTGATGGAAGGCAGCCCAGTAGAGCTCCTAGTCCACAGATCCAACACCCCAGCCAAGCCCTTGTGAAGCCACTCCTGAGCAAGGGTAGCAGCAGCAGCCTGGCTTCCCTAGGGCAACGCCATAGCCCAAGAACAAGAAGCACCATTCACCAAGGTCCTGCACTCCTGTGGCCTCCCATGCAGCTGCAGGTGAGGAAGTGCTGTGAGCCTTAGAGCCATTGAGTCAAAAATCAGCAAGTCAAAGAGACTTAAGCAAAAACTGCATTTAACACTCACTGCGTTAAACCAAACACAATGTGAAAATGTTGAAGCAATGGCTCCTCTTGCACTGTGTTCATGCACTTGGTACAGTGCATGAGAACAGACAAAAATCTCTAAAGACTCTGTTGACAAATCCCAGATGTTTGATTCTGGGTGCATACAGCCTACCCTTGGAAAGAAACTACAAAATCCAAAAGAATTAAGACACAAAGGTAAAATCTAGCTTCATAAATCCATAAAGATTTACAAAACGTGGAAGACTTTCTCATATTATTTATCTGTACTGATAAAAGTGAGAGTCAGGACTGAAAAATAAGATATATATTGTGGAACATTTTCTGCTTTTTATTATACCCTTATATAATTATATATTATGCCAAGACTTCTATCTGATTTTCAGTCCATTTAAATGCTATCCTTAGTGAACCATTCTGGTGCTTTCAGTACTTTGTTGGCAAGTACAAGACCAAAAAAAAAAAAAAGAAAAACTTTCTTTTCTACAGTTCTCTGAACTGCAAACATCTAAATCATTCATTTTCCTTCCTCTACATAAACATCATTAAATATATTCAGATGACAACAATAATTTTATACCTGCAAGCACATATTAGAACTACAGTTGAAGTCTTTCAACACTTTTCATGTTAATGATATGCAAATTACTGGCATTAAAACTAGTACTTCTTTGAAGTTATTTAAGTCTCAGATATTTGACTTGATCTACTCTTCCCCAAACTTCAACTGTGTGGACAGCTTAAGCAAAACTGTCATCAGAACAGCTTAAATAATCAGAACAACAGGCCTTAAAACATCAGGGTACAATAAGATTCAGAAGAACTGTGTAAGACAACCAAAAGGCTGATTTCAGACTGCTCCAGTAAAACTTTGTGACAGCTGACATTATAGCTACAGCACAGAGTATTGCGGATCCTCTGGAAAACCCCTCCGCTTAGAAGGACTTGGAAGACAAATCAATATTTCTCACAAAAAGCTGGTAGGACTTTCCTATGATGTGTCAGGGACTGCAGTGCAAACCAGAATCCAGAAGAACAAAAGATGCATCTCCTTCCACAGAGCTTCCAAGGGAAACAGCACACGTCTCACCCATTATTTATTAGATACTTGACAGCACTTAAGCCTATGCTTTCAGCATTAGAAGAAACCAAAGGAAGCAACTTGTGCTCTGTGGCAGAGGTGACAGAATTCTATAATCCTGCTGTCAGCCTGAAGAGCTGCATTTGCCACTTCCTCATGTAGTACTTGCATAAATTAGACTTTCAGTTCAGGAATACACTATGACAAAAACCATTTTTACCTAGCAAACTTCCAAGCTGATGAAGGTTTCCAATAGCTTACAGCAAATGAACCACACTGTTCTTTTTTTTTTAAATTATTTTTAAATCAGTAGCATCTAGGCAATTCAGTGCTCTACTTTCTCTTTTAGACATCTACACATAAAACTCATCCCCAGTTGCAAACACTAACTTTTGCTTTTCTCTATAGCTATCTGCATTACCAAACTAACATAGTATCAGTCTGCATCCAGATCCATAAAGGGATAGCAGAGATGAGGCAAATCTACACTGCTCGCATAAAATTTTTATGCAATATATGGCTATAGCACACCAATGTGTCTCAAAGCCAGGAGTTTTAGTCACTTGCATGAATACTAATTTTTCTCTCAAAACTTAAAAGCAGGATAAGCAGCTAAATCGGGAGGAAAAAAAAAAACCCTAAGTTGATTTTCTAGGTAGAAAAGCAACATTAAGATGTGTAGCCGTAGCTAAATGCATCCAAAATTCTACTGATATCATCTAATCAAAAGGAGCCAAGCAAATATGATACAAAGAACAGGGATGCAAGCAGCAGGAGCTAACAACTAAATTTAACTGCAACTATTTTCAGAGTCTGCACTGAAAAAAGGATATAGACAGTATAGAAAAACAACTTTAAAATACTTTTAAACAGTTGTGCAGGTGATTAAGCCCTCTGAATTGAGAATGGAAAGGGGTGTGAAATACACAAATCCACAAATAATAAGTGATCTGAAATACATCTGCATGGGGTAGACAGTGCACATCCTAAACTGCAGGTTGGTTTTATACCCATTTTGACATATTAGGCTTACAAAACTGCAATTTGTAAGTGAGTATGCTCTACTACTAAATTAAGCAAACACAGAATGAATGTAAATTATTACTTCTATAGTCGAGGAACATCACACAGAATTTACATTTAAAAGTGCAATTATTAATGTTAAGTTTAACTGTTCAAAAGTAGAAACAAAACCTAATCAGATGCTGGTATTCAACCAGTCTCTACAGCTACAGAATCACAGAGTTGCAAGAGGCTTTCCAAGAGAAGAGACAAGTCTATGTTGGGCAAAAGCTCCTGTAAGTTTTCTAAATGATTTTTTCTCCATGATAGGCAGCTCTATTTCCTGTTTTGCCCTTCCACCTCTGAGGCCACAAAACCAGTCCCATAATTACTTCAGCAATAGTGCATCTCTGTTGGTAGCCCAAGGCAACCATGCAGATGCGTTACGTGGTGGCCAGATGGGTAAGGAGACTTCCTTCTACCCATTTCCTCTCCTCCTCTCCACTGTTTCTGTAGGTTAGACTGACAGCCAAATATACCAAGTACCATTTTGTACCCTGACATAGCATGTTTAGGAAGTAACTGCTGTTTTCCTTTCTACTCAGAGAATCTCCAAGACCCTGAAAGTCTGGGAACTATTGACTTGTCAGCACGCTTGATGCTGAGCTGAAAACAGGATAGTACTGGCCATTCACACACTGCCAACATTCTCAGTTCTCAGTGCTACGATTACGGGTCACTGAGCTAAAAACGAAGCTGTTCTCTGCAAAGCAGATCCAAAGTGAAAACAAGAGAACAAGACTTTTCCAAGAGAGAATGACAGAACTCAGGACTGCACTTTATCTGTTACATGCACGGTTTTCTTTCTGTTTTGAGCTCAACTACATACAGGAATCTCAGTCTGACCTCGCTTTTGATTTTTCCTTGCACATCTCCAGCTTGTCGCTTTTAAACAGATCATGACACATCACTGTAGTAATGAAATAACCTTTTGATTTGTAAAATCCTTTCAAAACTTCTCTTTCATTGTTCTTCTGTTAAGTCTAGTACCTCTCAATAAAAAACATATTAGCATAAGAGCAACAAACCATAAATTAATTTCAACAACACCCTGGTAGGCAATCCACAATAGCCCAAGATGCTGCATAAGCTTCTCTCACTGATGTTCACTGCAAATGACACAGACACTGTAATGACACCTAAGAAGATGCAGTCATAACCTCTCCTTGATGGAGAAGAAAGGTGGAGATAGAACAGGCTTTGCAACCAAGACAAACTGATGCCTGCTGATTCTTGGAAGTTTTGGCACAGAAGGTTGTTCTAGGTGGAGTTAGTTTTTGTGCTTTTTTTCCTTTTACTTCAGTCAGCCGTGTTTTAAAGACATTTTTGTTTTAACGGCAGCTAAATTCTAAATGAGTCATTCCTTGCAGTTCAACTGTTAGTATTTTTATAAATTATTTAACTTTTGGTTACAAAAATGCCCTCTTTCCTATCTGTTTGAGTTTGCCTCAGTCATGCAAAGTATATGAAACAACTGGGAAAAAAAAACAACTCATGAGTTAAACAAGAGTTCCTAGAAAAGGCAATGAATTTCTACTTCTCAGTCTATATCCAGTACAAAGAAGATAGCTTTGAAGTCAGATCACTATTAGTTCACAGTCTGAGGATGAATGTGTTCTTTCAAACTATTAAAGTGAACATTTTCTTACCAATGAAACCCAGCTGAGAAAATTCTAGAATCATCCAATCTTCAGAAGCGAGCTGAAGTGCAAAATTTTTTATTGTGCTGAAATAATTCTGCTTGACAACGATGTCATCTTCAAGCTAGAAGAAGGTAGCAGTGGTATCAACATAAATAAAAAAAAGCACCAGCAAAGCAATAGGAAAAAGTACAGCTAGGAAATACTTATTTGTAATATATTGCTAACACATAGCCATATATTTCTAATGCAAACACTGCTATAAAACCTAGACACTATAGCCAAGAATAACTATTGTAGGGATCAGTCTATTTGTGGATAACTAATCCAGAATCTTTCTGTAGTAAGAACACACAAATGTGTCTCAACTTGTTACTTCAGAACATTGTTCTTCTAGCTTCTCTCTTCAGAGAAAAATCACCCATGAAATGATGTGCCATCATCAGTAGAACAAGTATTATATCTGTGTTACTTGTACACAAACGTGACTCTGTTTACTCATGCACCTAACAGCACTGAAAGAATTTCTCCTCTGAGACAAGAAGCTAAGAGGTTGTCTACAGAGGTGGGATTTGTTTCACCTGGCTTTAGTTGTCCAATAGAAGAACAGGTGCATAGTCCAAACTAATCATCTAGTTTGGGCAGCAAAACTGTCAAGACGGGGTGCTACAATCCCTTCAATTCGTAGTAAGTGCAGGCCATTGCTTTAAGAATCCTGCTTCTCCTATTCTTTCTCCCACTGCATTCACCTCCCACTGCTCTCCCCTTGTGCTGGCACTAATATTTGTGTGATTGCCTAGTTTCAAAAAGACCGTCTCAAGTCATTGGCTGTACAGCTTCCAGGAGAGCTGAGTCTCCAACAGCTCTCAGAACAGTCAGCATAGCTTTGTAAAAACTACATGAGATGAATGGGGTTTTATATCCAAGGACACAGTCCCAAAACCTAATCAAAGATCCTAAGCGCACTTACTCACTAAATCTGCCATACCTGTGGGTAAGACTTCCACTTCAAAGCAGCAAGACACAATAGGAACAATTGTGAGCTAAATTAAATTTAAGAATTGCTTAACGCTGTTCTTGAGAACCTCTTTTAGAAAGAAAACAAGTCTAGCAACACATTGAAAATGTATTTATACACAACAGTCGCATTGATGTGGTGCTGTACTTGCCTTCAAAATAAAGTAAAAATGCATTTTAGCTTGATTTCCACTCAAAACTATGTTGGTGTTTTTTGCCTAGGCAACTCCACAGTAACTCATCTGGAGGACAAAGGAGAAACAGCAGTTAAGCTGTCTGCACTCCTTTACTTTTTTTACTAAGCATCTTAAGATAAAATAAGTCGCACAGGACAAGTTACTTTCTACTTCAGAGACAGTGTTGTCCACAGATTACTTCCTCATATACCATAACTTCCACACTTAATGCCCTCCCTTCAACTATGGAATCAAGTTATCTCTGTTCTGCGTCCAACAGCACAATTTCTGGAGACTCATTTGAAAACCTGTTTCAAAACAAAGAGAAGAAATTTACCTGAATGTAATAAACACCCTTTTTCTGGGCATACATCATAAGAAAACAGTAATCCAAGTTTTGTTTTGTTCTCCATCTGAAATGAAATCAAAAGCTTAAGGATTATGGAAAAAAAGTTATTTCAATACATGCTGGCAATGCAAAGTAAATCTCACTATGAAGAATGACGCATATTAGTGCAATGTTAGGACAGCTGCTTCTGGCATTGTTCCCTCAGGAAATCCTCTGTCTGAAAAAAAGGAACAAAGCCTTTGCCTTATACTTTAATACAGACATAAAACTGGTTTAACTTGAATCTGATTTTGTGAAAACTACCTGACATTTCACTAAAAACACATGTGCATTTTAAATGGTAATTCAGAAAAAAAAGCAGGAGTTACCAGAATTTACACTCTATCTCAGGAAAAAAAAAACAAAACAAACCCAAAACAACAAAAAAAAACAGTAAAAAAGACTGCATACAGCAAAAAATTATATCAAGTCTCAGTTCTCCTCCCAAAATTCAACACTAAATAAATTCAACTAAGCATAGCATTAAGCTCTGATCATGCACAGAACACTATGCAGATAGGAATGAGATGCAGTCACAGAGCACTTTTAGCATCCCCACACCTTCAAGAATTACAGTAAGAAAACATTTCAAGAATTCACATCCCACTCGCCATTTCACAAACAACACGAGTGCGGGTGTGGGAGGGGATGGGAAGAGATCTGTGGGAATAAACTAACCTCACTCTCTCTTTCGAGTCTCCAAATGTCTCTTTCAGGTTTGTCAAGTCAGGATAGTAAGTTGCAGGAGGGGCTATTACTTCCACCAAGCCAGAATTGATCTCTGTAGAAAACCTGTCAATAGAAACAACCTAAAGTCATGAGAGATTCTGAGTTTTGTTGACGTCCTCTCTGCTGGTTGACACAGTAACTGTTGGTACAGTTATTATGTCTGGTTACACCAATGGCTTATTCAAATGAGGCATGTAAAATAAAAGTAATATATATTTAAAAAATACTGTTTACCCTAGCATCCTCTTCAGAGCAGTATAGCCACTTGCCCAATAATCAGAATTCTAGATTCTAACCACTTCTTTTCCCTTTCTTTTTTCAGAACCTAGTGATTTTTTTTCTGTAATTATCTTTGAACGGATGGAATACAAGGCCCTAACACAGATGTCACAAATTTCCAGTCATGTTAAACCAATTCCATCTCCTTATGTTGCACCAAAAAATTTAATCCCTTTTATTGTTTTACAATTTAACCGACTTAATCTGTCATCTATTACTTCATTGTTCTAAAGACCTAACCCCCAAGAAAAAAAAATGCATTATCTCATTTCTTATTGCTTATCTCAACCTGATTTAGGAAAAAACAAAAAGCAAACCCACCAGTAAGCTAAGAAGTCCCCCATTAAAGTGGCAACTTACTCTTTTTCCAGGCTTGCAACAACACTGTTAACATAGTCAAGATCAGTCTGGAAAACAAACACACAAAAAACACAAATAGAACACTTAACAGTTTTGAAGCTACACTTTAATAAAAGAAGCCAGTAAAATAAACATTGGAGGTAGCTGTACTTGAAAATCAATTTCAGCATGTAAGATATTTAAGTAACATAGGAGCATATCACACATATAACTATGTTGTATGTCTAATGGGAAAAGAAACTCTTTTTTTAACAGAGGGGAATATTATTTCTCTCATATCTGCTTTTAACAGACAGTTCGAATCCAGCTGTTGGTATTTTCTTGCAACCTGTGATGTTTTTAAGGACAAAATGATTGGTGAGTGTGTAGGAAGAACTTCATATTATTCTTATATAATAATATCTGTGAAAATATTCCCAAGGAAAGCTTTCTGGAAAACAGGACACTTTTCTTTCAAAAATACATCTCCCAAACTTTGCATTTAAAGCATGGATGCCCCAACCACAGACAGCAATGAACATGCTGTTTTCCTGACTAGGGTTGTTTTTTTGCATCAGAGATTAAACTTGAGGAACTATCAGTCCTATCAATCACCCAGTTCTTAAAGATGCACAGATTCTAAAAATTCCTTGTTTGTTTAAAGAACAAATCATGACATTCTGGAAAAGTCTAGATAACCCAACTTGCCAGAACTGGCTGATTATTCAATCTATGCACTTGGTCATACACATGTATTCCAGAAAAATAAAAAGTCTGTGAATTGATAAACATGACTAAAATTCCTAATCTTTGTTATACTTACTAAACTAATAATTTAACATACTATTTATCTGTATTCAAAAGAAAATTTACAGTCTATAAATCAACCCAGATTCTGGTGGCTCATGAGGATTCTGCAGAAACAGCTGCCTTTGAAATGCTAGAAACAAAGGAACAGTTCATACTTTTTCTTATGAATTTGTAATGCAGATTATCATTAAAGGATTATACACACGGAGAATAAATCCCTCCCAAGTATTTCTATAGAACCACTAATCTAGTTTGATAAAGGTGCTTACCCTTTGATCTCAAAAATCACCATTCCTATTTTTAAAGTTTTATTTTTATAAAATCCAACATAATGCCAGTGACGCACACTTTTCCAAAAAGGACAACAGTGGGCTTCTTCCAAAAGCATGTTCTAAATACTACAAAAACATTTGAGCAGAAAGCATTTATCACAAATTTTCCATACGTATTTTCTTCCTAAGTGCTATGCCTAGTGCTGGACAGCGAGAAAGAAAAATTCCCCATTTTTGAAGGAGAAAGCGTTTACTGCCTTGCATAAATAAGACCTGAGGTCCTCTTTATCAACCTGCAGGACATGAGATTGCTGAAAACAATTATGAACTACATACAACATGAAAGACTAATATCCTTGTCTTCTCCAAGAACCTTAAAAACAGAACAAGGCAGATCCACATTAATCAAAAGGAAGTCACCCATGAAAGACAAAGTGTAACTGTTTTTTAGGCTTCTAGTGAAGAACATTTGGTAGCTACTAGGTTGAATTTGGAGCAGTTATGATGAACTTAAATTCTGCTTCATGGTATCAGTGCTGCTTACAACCATTAAAGGGAAATGTCACTGATGTTCCCAGCCAAAGCAGCACAATCTGTAAGACTACATCGACAAAGGTTGTTGTTTTTTTTCTATCAAATCAGAAGGTAATAACAAAACCAGAAATTTTCCTTAGTAAAACTCTTAAGGTTGAAGATTAAACAATCCCTAAGAGTCTGGGACCCAAGAAAAAGAAGCAAAAATAAACATTTTAAGAACCAGTCCTTTCAAAGCTATTAAATGCAAAATTGTCACAGGCCACAACCAAAGAGTTAATAGTGCCAGCCACAGAGATTCATCTTATCAATGAATCACATGAAGCCTTACAGACAAGTTTGTCCTGTTAGGTGGATCTCTGGGAACTAATGAAAGGCGTAAGTAGAGGTGGTTACTTCAATATCAGCAGTTCAGATCTTTCCGACTGTTCTCTCTTCCTAGTCATGGGAAATTACTGATCTACAAGAGAAAGCAAGAAGCGAGAGCAAGACATCCTCCATTTTTCATTCATACCGCGTCAGATCAAAAAATGCTTCAGCTCAGCACCTTGCTTCCAGCTGTGGCAGCCATGAACAGGTATATAGCAAAGAATAAGAACAGGACAAGCATACACAATACTCCCTCCTGCCTTCAATTCAGATTACTCCCTGAGACAGATGTGATTTTGTGTATTTAATATTCCTTGGCAGATTCCTCTTCAAGGTACCTCACCAGTACTCCCTTGAGCCTATCTAAACTTTCAGCAAAAAAAGAAGATTTTAGCTTATGAGATCTGTGGAGTTTCATAGGCCTGTAAACATGGCAACATACAAGGTTTAAGTCCTTGCATCAGCAGTTTTGATGAGACACATATAGAGCACTTTGATTAATCTCTCTAAAAGAAAACTCAAAGTCCATTGTGGAACAAACTAAAGTTTCAGATTGTCAGTGAAATAAGTTTTTAAATTATCTCAGTTTTTGTAAGATGTTCCCCTACAATTCTCTTAAGTACCTTACACAGTTTAGGTGAGGCTGCATTTCAAATTTGCTATGATTCTAAGGTTTGTCTTATTCATAACAAATGCACAAAGAACTAGAGCAACAATTAACTTTCCAATCTTTTTGATTGATTTTTATGAGTAAGTATGTGCATAGCAAAGTAGTAGAATCTATTAGGTAGCAGACAAAACAAGAGGTTAGAAAGTTCCAATTAACAGCTAGCCAACTGTCAGACAAAACCGAGATTTCTAATTTTAAGAACCAACCCTTTTGTACTGTTATAACCTACCTACTTCATACCTTCAAGAGTGACAGAAGGTGGACTGCCTCTCAAAATGTAAGGAAAACCATGACATTTTAGACCAAAGGGCTATTTATTGTCTTAGCCAGTAGCAGATGCATAGAAAAAAAAAAGATGCAATCATAGAATATCTACAGTTGGAAGAGACCCACAAGGATCATCAAGTTCAACTCCTTGCTCCTTGCAGGACTACCTAAAACTAAATCATATTACCAAGAGCGTCATCCAGACACTTCTTGAACTCTGACAGGCTTGACGCCATCACCACTTCCCTGGAAAGCCTGTTCCAGTGACCAATAACCCTCTCAGTGAAGAACCTTCTCCTAACGTCCAACCTGAACTTCCTCTGAGCCAGCTTCATACATTTCCATGTGTCCTATCACCAGTCACCAGAGAGAGGAGATCAGCACCTCCCCCTCTCTTGCTCGCCTTAAGGAAGTTGCAGACTGTGATGAGGTCACCCCTCAGCCTTCTCGTGTGCAAGTTTAACAAACCATGTGACCCCATCTGCTCCTCATAAATCTTGCCCTTTCACCTTCTTGGTCACCTTTAGTTTGATGTCCTTCTTATATTGAGGTGCCCACAGTACTCAAGGTGGGGCCACAGCAATGCACTGTGGAGTACAATAAACAGGGTATGTACAAAATGAACCATCTTTTCCTTCTTGTAGCTCCCAGTTCTTGCCAGTCAACGATTTATAACTCCTAGGCCTGACTGGTATCCATACCATTAGTTCAATAGTTCCTCCTCCATCTCGTCTTTGTGAATTTGCCCGATTCATTTCAGAACCCATTTACTCACTTGTATTTCACAATATCCAGTAGCAACAAGGTCCACAATTTAGCTACATACCAAGTGAAAAGTATTGCCTTTGGTTTAGATTTTGCCTCTTAATTTCATTTAGCAGCACCTAGATTACACCTGTATCACCACCTCAAACTAAGAATCGGTTCTAATCCACATACATAAAGTCTTAAGCAAGCAAAACAGAGTCCAAATAGGGCTGGAGCCAGGTTGACACACAGGCAGAGCAAGTACACAAACACTTTGCATCAGACCATATAAGATACAGTCTCATACTCTAGCAGCACAAACAAGACATGGTACTGCTAGAAGGAACAAAAATAGCCTTGAAATTCAGACATTTACATTCTATTGTAACGCATGGGATTCCTGTCTCTGCTTTTATTTTCCTGTCTTAACCCTCCTGCAACAATTTATCTAGTGATACTGGACACCTTACAAATTAATTTTTCCTTAGTTTGCCACTAAGCGCTGTTCTTACTCCAGTTCCCAGGACTTGTCCACACGATGTGATCAGAAGTGCTAAACACTGGACTTTGACAATATCAAGTGCTACAGAATGGCAGGTGCCATGAAAAACTGAACTGTATGCATCAATGCTGGCACCCAGACAGGGAAAAACTTCATTTTCACATTAGGTTCTTCAAATGGGGTGAAATAAAAACAAACTAAAACCTACAAAAAAGCAAGTAAAACATAACGGAATGCCATGATACAGTGCATGAGCAATGTAATTGTAGCACTTTCCTGTTCCAGAAGTTTGACTTGCAATAAAGCTATAATTTTCAAGAGGCATATTGCAATGCTCTGTAAAACGTACAAGTTTTCAGCAGCTGACTGCTTTGAGCAAGAGAGTGGGACTAGAGGTCCCTTCCAATCTCAGTGATTCTCTGAATCTCAGATCTTGCCTTAACAGATCAAATCTCTGTTTGGATTAAATTTATATTTCAGCTGTCAAAAAGAGTCAGTTTTTAAGAAGAGAAGTGCAAATAGAAGCAAAGATGGCACCACATTTCCCAAATTTTGTTGTTTTTTTGTTTTGTTGTTTTGGTTTTTTTTCTCCACAAGCCACTAGGAAAGGAAATTAAGATGCAGAATTTCAAAATACTACAAATTCAAGAAGAGAAGCTACAGTGAAAGAGAAGGAAAATTCAAACATTAATAGTACAGTACATTCTAAATAATGTGGTTTACCTAGGCTGTTAGATTATCCAGATCTTAATTCTTAAATGAAATCTACTATAAGTAAGTCTTAACTTATTCCAGAACCTATTCCAAAAACAAAGAAAAAAACCCTGGGAAACAACCATGCTAATCTGCAAAGCATGGTCATTTCATTGCTTACTAATTTCTACAATTTTATTTGAT